TGAGAAGGAACAGACATTGAGTGTTTGTAACCTGGAATACATGTGATGGAATGAAGTTCTGGGAACTCCTGTGTTCATACAGAATGGCCATACAAAACACTGTTCCCCTGAGGTATCTCACCTCTTTCCAACAGACAGGCTGTAACATCTCATCCCTTTATCTTCCACTGTGGTGTGGGTAGGGGGTTCTTGGGTATGGGCTGGGGAGGGAAGACACATGTCTTGAGAAAAGAGTTGTTCATCCTAAATCCGTCATACAAATTTTCTGGTTTTAGGTCTGCTACTGAGAGACAGAAAGTTGAAGACAGGTTTGACATAGAAAACCTCCTGGAATACGTCACAGAGCTCAGGTAACCACAAATTGTTGTCAAGTTGGCTGGAATAAGTTGAAAGATGTTAAAATTAAGCCTTATTTATGACTGGTGAAGTAGAACCTTGGCAACAATTATAGATGTGGGGGAAAAAAATCATGCACTTTTCCACACAACAGAAAGGAGTTGTAAGACATTATGTGAATTATCTTTCTAAGTGTCTCTGCTTTTCTGGGCTAAGCAATACTGTGGAAGAGCTTTCTATCAGTGTGGTATCCCACCCTTAAGGGGAAGGGAGCACCCAAGATTTGTAGATGCTTGTGGTTTTATTTTAAATAATTAGTGTTGAAATAAATTGCTTTTAATTTTAATTGACCTGTCCTAGAGTGCAAAAACTTGTGTCTGGAGAAGTAGGCAAAGGCAGTTTTCCTGTTGGAAACCAACAGTCTTAAGCATTTTAACTTTGTGCTGAAGTTTAAGATTACAAACAACTTGGTGGTAACAAGTTCCTAAATTTTCTCCTACAGCAGTGTTGCAGAAACAGTTGAGAAATACAAACTAGATGTAGCCCAGATGAAGGAGATGCTGATAAAGAAAGACCATGATATTGAGATCCTGAGGAGTACCATGAACACAAAAGAGGAAGAATCGTGTAAACTGATGAGAGAACTTAATGAAAGGTGTGCAGTGCTTCAACAAGAAAAAGGTAATCGATAGTCTTTGTATGCTCTTCCATCTGTGAGATCACTGACATGTCTTAAAGCATCTCAAATAGGTTTGTTCTAAAATGTCAGTTTAGACTGGTTTGGTCAAAGTTAGAAGTTGAGCCTTTGAGTTCCAGCTGAAAACAGTTGGACAGGCTTTTAACAGCAGGGAAACTACCTCACATCTGACATCTGTTAAGTCTGAATTTGTGTTTCTGTGGAGGGTTACTTGGGGACATAGTACAAAGTGCAAATATTTTGCATAGTGGGAATGGCTTTAATCTGAAAGATGAGCACTTACTCTTCGCTGAGAAGTAGTGTGCTGTTGTCTGAGTTCACTGTTAGCAGCTTGTGCACAGGTTCATTGAGGCATTGGCAATGTGTCTGAGATCCTCCTTCATTCCTGAAACCAGCAGCTCTGATACCTGAGACAAGTACTCAGCTCCCTGTGTACCAGTTGGCTTCGATGTGCTAGTATTATATGGAAGCATCTTTGGACAACTCCTGTAGTTGTTTTCCCCAGCTATACTGCTGTTCTGACAG